GGGGCACTGCAAGGGAGCATAGAATCACAAGTTAGAAGGGATCCATAAGGATCACAGAGTCCAACTCCTGGCTCATACACAATGCCATCCCGACCCTTCTCCATCTTTGCAGCCCTCCTTTGGATGCCATAATGTATTCAGACTTCAATCAGCGCAATCTAACAGAAGACTGGGACTGGAATTAGGACTAATTCTGCTCCACCACCCCTCCCAGGATGATTCGATTCATCCCTCAGCTTGCACAGCTACAATCAAAGTAAAATCCTACTTCACAAAGGCCTGGAGAGGTTTAATTAATTTTGAATTGTGCAATCTTCTGGGGTGAAAGCATTAAGAAGCCTAAATTTTAAGAGGTGATGAGCAGCTGTGGAGTCCATTAACATCCACGGGAACAACAGCTGCTCAGGAGCACTTCAGATTTCATTCTTAAAAACGTCCCAGATGTACAACACAAGCAAAGCTGACCTCGATAGGAATTACCAGGCCCTGCACTCGCAGAGATAACAGAAGCCGGATGCTATTTTCATGCTGATCAGCACCCTCAAAGCTGTTCAGATTTTCACAGAGTACAAAAACATCTTTTACCATTTCTGCTGATAAATTCAACTGAGGCCACAGTGAGCATAGCTATGTTAATTCCCTATGGCCACAAGACTCTGAAACAATATCTGATATATCTAGAAAAAAGTGCTCCTGCCATGGCTCTAGCTACAGCTTTGCAAAATTTAGACATTTAAATGTCTGGAAGACAGATTTCCAAATCCTTGTACAGTGGAGCTGTGCTGGTGAACGCTGCTGGACCACGTGAAAGCCTTTCAGGTATGGAAACACATGAGTATCATGCTGAGTACAATGAAATTGAAAGTAGGGTTGGTGCCTTTAAACATTGCCAGAATACCAATCCAGAAATCCAGACATGCATTGATGTTATTCAGACTACAAGTGGCTTTTCCTCTTAATTTTTTCTTGAAACCACATTTTCCGGACACCAACCACATCCAACTTAATGAGAAAAAAAAACAAGGCCCTTGCAGACCATCTCCAGCCCAAATGACCCCTCCTACCATCCACTGCTCCTCTTGCAGTCTCTGACTCCCCCCATCCACACGGAGAAACCACATTTTTCTTCTGCTCCCAAGGATTTGTTGGTAATTGAAGGCAATAGTGGAATAAAATAAGAGGCACACACAGGATTCATTCCAACAGTCACTGACAAGCAACCACCTCTGCAATGAAATACAGCAACGTTTTAGCCAAGTTTCTTACAAAAAGAAGAGTTATCTGATCTTCTGTCTGTCCCACCCTCACAACAACTGAGCTGGAGAGCCAATTTCAGCCAAACGTGACAGGGAATAGATCTTAAAAGTAGTAAATTCTTAGAGGTTTCGTGGAAACAGACAGCCCTGCAGCTGACAGTGGGATGTGTGCCTCCAGAGAAGGAAGAGCTTCAGCAAGTATTCATTAGCCCTCCATGCTGCTGAACCTACCAGCACAGGGCTTCCATGGCACAGGGCTTCCATGCTACAGGGCTGCTTGCTTGGTGCATACTTTACTGGATCCAGCCACGACACAGGCTGCTTTTTGCTTAGCAGGTAGTTTGGGTACACAAGCGTGTGCTGGGAGCAAAGAAGGGAGGGGTCTGAATCTGTTGGTCAGACATGGTGAGAGGTGTGGTTAATGAAGAAGAACTATTAAGGGAGAAAAGAACACATCTGCATTGAACCGAGCAGCAGTCATTCAGCTGCTCCTGTAATAAAAGTATTTGCTTTTGAAATATACCCCTGTTCTTTAAGACTTCACATAAACAGGAGGGAATGGTTTTAAACTAAGACAGGGGAGGTTTAGGTTAGATATTAGGAGGAAGTGTTCCACACAGAGGGTGGTGACACACTGGAACAGGCTGCCCAAGGAGGCTGTGGATGCCCCATCCCTGCAGGCATTCAAGGCCAGGCTGGATGTGGCTCTGGGCAGCCTGGTCTGCTGGCTGGTGACCCTGCACACAGCAGGGGGTTGGAACTGGATGATCATTGTGGTCCTTTTCAACCCAGCCCATTCTATACTTCTACGATAAAAAGAACATCATATTTGACAACGGGCAGAAGGACTCAAAGAAGGAAAATGTAAATTGCCCTGCTAGCACATGGCCAAGGCATACACTTGGAAAAAAAAAGCTTTATAATGATCATTTTTCCTTTGTAATTTTTTTTTAATGACATTGTACTTCTGACAGCATCCCAGGGCAGCACACCTGCGTCAGTCTATAAGGAGATATTGCTTCTGTTTTCTTCTGTTAATGACAGCTGTCAAATGACTTCTGTGTCCAACTTAAAGGGAAAAATACATGGCCTAAGTCATCCTCTAACTGTTCCAGGGGAATAAGGTGCCAGCACTATTCCTTCCATCTCTAAACCACTTACAGAAGTTCCCTTTCTCCCACTGAGGGATAATGTCTGCTTTACACACTGCATTATTTCAGTCCAAACGGAAGAGGTTAATGACAAAGCATTGCTCAGATCTTGGCACATTTTAAGGCCATTCAAATTAAATTTTTACTTCAAAAATTTGGCACGGACCAAACTTTCGTAAGTTTTTCTTTTTTTTTTTTTTAATGCACATGTTTCTTTGAAGATCTTTCAGGAAAAAGATGTCCTAACAAGCCACCCTCCTCCTGCTGCCACTGATACATCATCCCTGTGGATAAGGCTGTCAAGGAAGAGAAACTGCGTGGCATTCACAGAAGAGAGTGTCACATGCCTGCCTTCCAGTAACCTGACTGAACAATTAAATTGTATTCCTCTTTAAAAGGGATAAAAATCAAAATGCAGATCTTGCTGAGGTCTGGGATTCAGGAAGATTAATGAGCTACCTAAAAGGGAACAGTAGCTTATAATAGAAAGAGAAGATAGTACATTTTTAACATAAAGTTCAAAGGGAAACTTTTCTTGATGGTTAAACAGCAAAGATTTCATAGCAAAATCATCTCATCCATTGTCCCTATTGACTCCCTACATTGACTTTTTGTCACCTACTGCATCACGTTCCAGCTCTTCCAATTCATCCATAAAGGGCGATACCATCTTGTCCCTATCCATGCTAATTCCTATATTTTGTCCTTTCCTCTTTTGTCAGCTCATAAGCTTTGTTCTTCCCAACCCCACACTAGCTCCAAGGCTGGAAGTCTGCATACATCTCCTTCACACTCTTCTCTTGAAAACTCTCACAATATTCAGCACATGGCAAATGCTGCCTCAACATTTGTCTTCTATCAATGAGGAGTTCTCTCTCAAGAAACATGGCCATGCCCTACAGCAGTATCACAGAATCATAGAATCACAGAATTGTAGGGGTTGGAAGGGACCTCCAGAGATCATCGAGTCCAACCCCCCTGCCAAAGCAGGTTCCCTACAGCAGGTCGCACAGGTCGGCATCCAGGCAGGTCTTGAACATCTCCAGAGAAGGAGACTCCACCACCTCCCTGGGCAGCCTGTTCCAGTGCTCTGTCACCTCACTGTAAAGAAGTTCTTGCGCATGTTTGTGCGGAACTTCCTATGCTGCAGTTTCCAGCCGTTTCCCCTTGTCCTGTCTCCACTCACCACTGAAAGTAGCAAGTTCCAAACCTAAAGAAACTGTTTAAAAACGCATCCTCAGCTTGGTGTGACAGTAATGGCCACTGCACTATGAGAAGCATCAGCATCTGTGCCATACGGTGGCTCACACTTCGGACCCTGCTGAACTGGATCACTTCTTTCAGATGACCCCAAGTTCAAGTACAGGTGACAAGATTTTGAAGGTGAGAATCTGAGTCTTGAAAGATGCAGAGCTGTAAGATGAACACCTTCCAAGCGTACCAAGAGGTGATATCATAATTTGAAAGACAAGTATCTTCACTTTATCTTATTTTTATATGCTGTCAGATCACAGCGTCCTGAAGTTGACAGTTGCTGCCCACATCTTTTTATCAGATTCTTCCTTCCAGTAAATGGAAAAGTGTCTGAATATTAGCCAGTGTCATTACGTACTTGAGCATCGATAAGAAGATCCCCTTTTTAAAGGCACTTAAGCAAAGCAACTGGTCCATAAAAACACTGTACACCTCTGAGTGCTTCTTACTCCACTCTTTCAGGTGGAGTTGAGCATAACTAAATTATCTAAGGAAGAAGGGAACACAAATATCCAGTATTTTGACTGGATTACCAATCGTCCTCAAATAAAAGCCATCTGAGAATTACCACGTGCAAGATTTCAGGGAGAAATTCTACCCTCGTCCATCAATATAGACTTTTCAGAGACTACAGTATATTCTTTTTTGGTTAGTCCAATAGGAAACTCCAATGGATGATACAGAAAAAAAATAATCCTGCTATTCAATGCACGGCAGTCTTAAGATATTTCCCTGCTGTTGCTCTCAAAACTAAGAGCTCACAGTGAATTAAGACATCCAGGAAAAAATATGTGAAATGACACCGTGCCCAGAGAACGTTTTTCTGTGTACAAAGAACACTTGTCACAAGCAATATAAACCAGCACGAGTAGTCCAGTGCCTCACATTCACCATTTTCAAACACTTTAACTCTTCATCTTTAAGTGCCGTATAAAAGAAGAATCGGTCACTTCAGTCCATCCAATGGAAATTCATGCTTCAAACGTGAGACGATTGAGTTGAGCTCCCAAAGTAATCCAGGAGAAGTATATAACATTCAGTGCATGACAGAGGGAAATAAATTGCAGATAAAGAAGCAAACATTAACTCCAAGTACCCAAACACAATGCTCGCAGAGAGACTGTTCATATTTCACCTATTGTTTTATGACAAGAACCTTTAGCTGGAAGTGCAAAGGGCATAAATAGAAGCCCAGGTGCAAGAATAAACCAAACTGCAGTGATTTAGACAAGCCACATGGCAAACTGGAGAGGTATTAATTCTTTGATGTAGCACGGATGAGATACTCAGTTTCTACAAAACAGAATTATTCAAACTTTCACAGAATCTATTTTCATACCTTGAAGTTCCCCACTTCTGCTGTACAGCTCCCTTCTCTGCTCACGTAAATAGGCACTCATGCTAATAGCATGGGAGGAGGATTCAAACCTGTAATTAAAAAATATATAAATCCAGTCAGCCTTCTTGTAAGCACCCGTCAGCTCTAAACAAAATGCTTTTCCCTGCATATCTGAGCAAAACGATGAAGGCAGACAAAACCACTCTTTCCCTATAAAATTTGATCACCGTTGCACCAAATTCTGGCACTTCCAATCAGTGCAGCTCTGCTGGAAAAAGACACAGAGCTGCCTGCATGGCATGGAGATGGCTCCTCTGAGCCATCAGCTGGGAACACTCAATCATTCACATAGGAATGGCCCCAAAAAATTGGTAAAATCCAAACCAAAGTGATAAGTTAGTATCATATAAGTTGTCAACAGGCATATATGTAAAGCCACAAATTATTAACTAATACTTTCATTGCAACTAAGAATTAATTATTACTTATTGTATGGCTCCAATACTCTACAAGGATTAATCTGAGAAGAGACACTTTTCAACCATGGAGCCCCATTAACACAATGTTTGTCCCTAAGAGTAGAAATGACACTGCAGCTTTTCAGGACAGCTCTGGGCTTGCCATGATGTGAGCTGGATGCTCCTGGGGTCTAATGTCCCATGGCCAAGGAGCGTGAGGTCAGCAGCAGCCCTTTGTATCCAGGTTGGGCAGTTCTGCCACAGTCAGTGGGAACAAAGCATTTTCAAACTATCAAAGTGAACTGAAGAATTCATGGTGAAGACCACAAGATGTTGAGGTGCTTCTGCCAAGGATGAATGAATCAGCCTCAGCATCAAGCAGAGGGACACTCACAAGATATCATGCCGCATGGACGGTGTGATGCTTACGTTATTTTTTGTGAGCATTTATAAGCCCTCTTTCCTGGATCCATTCTTCTCCCATGCTCCTCTTTCCACTCACCATCCCTACTCTCATAATCCTTTCCTATCCTCATGCTGGTCCTCCAGTGGCACACTGTTCTTTAGAATACAGAATCACAGAATGGCTTGGGTTGGAAGGGATCCTCCCAAGGATTATCAAGTTTCAATCCTCTGCCACAGGCAGGGCCACCAACCTCCAGAGTTACACATAATTATAGTCAAGCATGAGACTAACATGTTGAGTATTCAACAGCTGCTTCTACAATCCATTCCTTCATTCCTTTCCCAAGAATGCCCGATCTCAGTCTTGCCAATCCAATCTGCAAGGGAGATGGCAACCCAAATATGAGGCTAGCAGGCTATAAGAAAGAAGGAGATAGACTCTTCAGCACGGTCTGTTGTGATAAGACAAGGGGAAATGGTTTCAAACTATAAGAGGGGAGATTTAAAGTTTTTTGGTTTGCCTTTTTTTTTTTTTTTTTAAATAAGGGTGGTGAGGCAACAGAACGCAATGCCCAGAAAGCAGGTGGATGCCCCATCCCTGGAGACACTCAACCAGGATGGTGCAGGCTCTGAGCAACTTGACCAAGCTGTTGGTGCCCCTGCTGACTGTAAGGGAGTTGGATGAGATGTCCCTTCTACAATTCTATGATTCTAAAAATGCAAATGGCACCTTTTTGGAAAAGAAGAAAGCCAGGCTTATGATGACTCAACCTACCTGGTCTGTCAAAGAAACCTGCACCTGAAGTTCTACTTTCTCAATCAATATTAAACAACTAAATCCATCAAGAACCCCCACCTCCCCCCCCTGAGAACTGTACCTATTTTTGAGATAAGGAATGATTCAAAGTCTCTTCCAAATGCTGATTTCCAGATTGTGAGACCCAATTCAAGAGTCCTCACTCTCTCCACTACTGCTACATCACACAATACATGTGAGCACACAACTAGCAAAAGTACTCAGTATTTAGAAAATTAGCTTCTAACAAGCTATCACAGGACACAGCACAAACACCTGCATCAAGCTGCAGGGAAAACACAAGGTGGAGCTCTGCCCTAAGAGACTTCTGAAGGGAGGAATTAAACACAGATATTCTGATGACAAGTGGATGGCTCGTCTGATTTGGACAGAGCTAATGGAAAGGCACAAAAAGAACCTTGCAGCCAATGTGAAAAGCACTGAAGATGAGAGAGAAGACAAGAATAACACTCCATCAAACATGTACATCCCTCAGTGGACTGAGAAATTCCATTTCAACTGAGATTTCCATAGATATGGTGACAGCTGACAGAAGACAGATAACCAAATAAGAGATCCCAATAAGTGCTGCTGTCACCACAGTGCCAGCAATGACTTGGTGACAGGACCACGAGTGGTAAGAGACGTGCTGTTCCTATGAGGTTAGTCACCTTCACTTTAAACAATTACACCTACCTTCACTCTGCTGACAAACTAATATACACACTTAAATTGCTGTAGGTGAAACAGAGCATCCTTATTCCTCAAGCCTAAATGCCCCAAGTACACCCAAGAACAGATATAAAATGAAAATGTGAACAGCCCTATTTTGTTCCAGTAGAGATCTGTAAGACGGAGTAAATTCAAAGAGCATGATTTTCACCCAAATAACAATGGGAATGTTAAAAAACAGGTGGGGAGGAATAACCGTGGGTTGACAGGGTGGCAGGAGATACTCTGACATCCTACAGGCAAACGTTTAACCTTCTAATAACAAGAGATTACATAGACAGCTAAACCTGTGAGAGGGAAGTGCAAAAGACTGGTTTATAACTGAAGCCTAGAGGTACCATGAGAACACAGCTGCTATACAGCCATGCACAAAGGGCAAAAGAAAACAGAGTTCCAGCAAGTTCTGGATAGCCAAAATAGATATAAGATATAGTTGGGAAAAAAAAAAAACAAAAAAAAACAAAAAAAACAACGAACAATCTGTACATAGGTCACAGAATGAAAAGTTCCCAATTACTACTATTTCCCATCACTCAGCCTTTCCCATTACTGAAGTTCCTCCTTAGGAACTTCATGATGGAGCGTTAACTCTCCATCGTGGTAATGATCTACTCCAACGTGGGATTTTGTATATTAAAGACACCCAGTTGCCCATCTCCAGAAAACTAAATGGGGAAACCACAAGCTCTTGCTTCCGATTCCTCCTCCTTCATGCAAACATCTCAGTACACATATTTTTTTTTAATTTATACTTGGACTCTACGTGGGAGAGCAAAGCCTCATAAGGCTCACTACTGAACTAATGAGCAGTGAAAGACAGCTCACAGTCCTGCAGCAGCTTGTAGTCCAGACTCTACCCATCAGACAAGCTGTTTCTGCTGCAGTTGAGCATGGGGGAAAGATTGCTGCCCCAAGCTACTAGTACTCCCTAGCACCATTCCCTTTGCTGCCTTTCCCTCAGATCTGCCATTAAACTTATATGCTCCCTTAGCAACTGCTTTAGAACAGTTTCATTGCAGAAAAAAAAAAAAAAGTCATTAAAAAGATTATTCTGGCAGTTCTGAGTTCAGGAAGCCACACACATGGTTATGCTAGCAGAGCTGCAGCATCAGATCAAAACTGTGATCTTTCAGCACAGAGCCCCTGCTGTCAAAACAGCACATTTTGGTAATTCCTCAAAACCCTCAAGAGACCAAAACTGGATGTCAGTAAATGAGATGAAAATTCAGCAAAGCTCACCTGAATCTCAGTGTATTAACAAGGTGGTTTCTCCTCTGCTAACAGAGCTGCTCACCAACAATCCTCATCCATGCACATCAAACCCAGTTCCCTGAATCCCTCCCTTGTCCACCTACCCTTTCATCCTCTTATGGTCTCCCCTCGATCACTTCTTTCTTTTCACTTTGAACTCTGAATTAAAGAAGCTAGTGATAGGATTAACCACTTAGTCCATCTAGTAATTATATAGTTATCTTAATTCTCTTTGTCCAGTTCCTTTTATCGCTGCCTTTAACACAGGTCTTGAACACACTGTGCACAAAGAGGCAGAATACACTGCTGCATGCTTTGCAGCAGCTTGGGTAAAGGGATCCCAACACTGGGATGTGTTTGAAAGAGCTGAGCTCTAAAAATCAACAATGAATCCAAAAAAGTGACCTTACTGAGGCTTCAGCATTGAGTATCAAGTCTCCATCACCAAACTTGCACCCTACTTACACTGTGAAACTGCAATTATCAGCCAGCTCATGCAATACTCAAGGCAACGGAGGAAGATTATACAGCTTCAACATCATCCCAGCACTTACTTGAACAAAGGGTTTTTAGGCCTTTGGGGCTTCTTCTTCGCAAAGAATGCTGCAAATTCTCTCCCAGAGCTGGCATAGCTAAGCTGAGCGGATGGCTCCGAGGCAGTGCGGGTGTTCTTCATATCCAGGTATTCTGTCAGGAGCATCTGCAAACAGAAGGGAGAGGACCACAACAATTGAGATAAAGCAATATTATAACGTAATGGGAACAGGCAAGATCTTTAAGTACTCTACAGGACTGGAAAAATCATGAAAAATCTCAAAAATTCTAGTTAACAGAAAGCCAGCTCCATTTTCAGAAATGAGATCCTAGTGACCTGAATGCCACTGTTTTGTTTTTTTTTTTTATAAAAGCCCACCCTGCATTACTGAACCAACTGAATCTGCTACAAAACCCTGACCAACCTGAGATGACAGCCTCTTTTCTCATGTGAAAAGCGATAGGACACGAGGAAACTGTGCACCAGGGGAGTTTATTGGGTATTAGGAAGAATTTCTTCACAGAGAGCGGTCAAGCACGATTCTACTCAGGGGAAGTTCTTCACAGAGAGAGTGGTGAAGTGCTGGAACAGCTGCCCAGAGAGGTTGTGGATGCTCCATCCATCCCAGGAGGTTTTCAAGGCCAGGCTGGATGGGGCCATGGGCAGCCTGGGCTGGTATTAAATGGGGAGGTTGGTGGTTCTGCCTGCAGCAGGGAGGTTAGAGCTTCATGATCCTTGAGATCCCTTCCAACTCACGCCATTCTGTGATTCTATGAAGCATTGCAATGGGTTGCCCAAGGAAGTGGGGGAAACCCAATTGCTGGAGTTAGTTAAGAGATGTGTGGATGTGGCACTAAGGGACACAGTTTGCAGTGTGATGGAGTTGGTCAGGTTGATGGTTGGATTTGATGTTCTCGAAGGTCCCTCCAAAGTAGATGATTCTGTGAATTTCCCACCCCTCCCCATAGTGATTCCCAGCAGCAGCAGGGAGATGGTAGGTGGGCTGTTGGCTGGCCTTTTTAGACTGATTACATGCCACAGCTCTTGCAAACATACAGGTCAGCAATATTGATATGTTCTGTTATAAAAACTCCTTTTATATTTGTAGAAAAGTCATAGCTATACATACGCACATTTGTACGTCTTAATATAAAACACGCACGTGTGGGTTTGTGTGGATGTATGGGTCACGTATGCTGCATGTTGGAAAAAAATCTGGAAATGCTGCAAAAATTGCCCTTTATTAGCTCCCAAATGAACCACACGTGTCTTTTTCTAGTCACTGTAAATATAAATACCCACAGCCATTAGTTCTGCTAACTTAGTTTAAAATTGATTTTCCTCTAGCCCAATAAATCCAGTATGAGGGTGTGGGGTCTGATTGTGAACAGGATCCTTTTGTGAAGCCTCTGCAGCCTTAAATCATGGTCTGATGTTTGGTGCTGTTTAGGCAACTCCATGGTGCAGAAGCAGAAATAGATTCCAAGTCATTCACTTTTAATTTCTGGGCCTGAAGACAGATAGAAACACCTTATAATTTGCTTTTGACACTGTGTGAACAAATTCACTCCTGGTGTTGAGAAAACTCTTACCTACATGGAGGCCATTAGTAAAGTGTTCCATTTTAATAACTAGCAAGTCAGAACCCTTCAAAGAGATTTGTTTGTAATGAAAGGAATGCATCAGTGCAGTGCTACGTCTACACAAACTGCCTGGTAATAAACATCTAGGCAAATGGTATCATTCCCTAATTAGAAATTATTCAGGATTGCTTAAAAAAACAAAAGAATACCAATGTAAAGAAAGTTCAACTCCTGAAACATCTCAATTAAAACTTTACTTGAGCACAAGCTTTTAAAATGTACGCTCATTGTTAGGAGGAAAAATAATCACCGTGCTAATTTTTAACAGTAATTTACCAAATCCGTTTGTACTCGCATATTTGCATTTCATCTCCTCTACTTGAATTAACAACCTTAAAATCACCACAAAAATGTAATTAAACCCTCAAACTTAATCAAGTTTAAAAAAAAAAAAAAAAGAAAAACATTTAGCAACGTGTTCTCACGTTATGGACGAAATTTATTTAGCACCGTGGTCTGGTGGGAGGCGTCCCTGCCTATAGAAGGGGGTTGGAACTAGATCTGAAAGGTCCCTTCCAACTCAAACCATTCTATGACTCTACCATAATGGGTTCCGTGACTTTGATGTTGTTTTATAACCAGGACTGGGAGGTGCAAAATGTGCTATACAAGACTTAAAAGTCACAACAAGTCAAGAGGAGCTTGCAGCTAGGAACATAAAGAATTGCCCATCAGTTAAAAGGGAAACGGAGAAACAAAAGATCAGTTGTGGTAAGATGCTCAGAACAGTTCTGGTAACACCACACTTTAGGAAAAAGAGAAAATTATGGCAATGTTAGGCAGGCAGAGCAAGACACCATCAGTCTCTAAAAAGCTAAAAGCTTCAAGAGCAGCAAAAATCACTGGTTTTGGTAACTATTCTCAAAGTTCATCTTTAAGTTATAAAATCCAACTGCAGCAAAACCGTGCTAGACACATCAAAGCTCTTTCTGCTCCAGTGCCCCGTGCTCAACAGTTACATAAATTCTTCAGAACGAAGTAATTAAGTGTAAGCTTGGCTGAGCGGTTACAATGCACAGCCAAGCAGGAGAGAAGTTAAGACAGGAGACACCTACAGCATACAGTGCATTTGGTTTTAATCTTCGTGCTGGAGTTATAAGCCCTTATAATTTAAGCAATCTTAATACTTGTATGTGGGATGGTCTTAAAATCTTGCCTCACAAATAGCCTGAAGATTCACTTTCTCATTTCTCTATACAATACATGCCCTTGGCCCAACGTCATCAGCCTCACTTTACTCCTTCCTTCCATGTGGGCAGTCCAAGTTATCCAAAGCTAGTGCTTACAGATGAATTTAAGTATCGTGTTCCAGTGGCAGTTGTGGCACAGCCATGTACTTATTAAAAGGCACAGCAAGCTATTTAAAAATGCACTTTAAAAAAAAGAGAAGAAAAAAAGAGACATCTTCCTGTCTATCCAAGTGAACCAGAGCCTTCCTTAACAATGAAATAAGGGATTTCAGCATTTTGTCCCATAACACCCAGTTAGGAGTTGCTAAGCCATCAATCAAAAACCTTGTTAGGCATTAATCACATGGACATACAGCAAGATGCATGAGTGGCCGTAAAGCTTGCAACATCCCATTCATCTGTAACAAGGACTTTTGACTTTCTGTTCAGTGGTCAAATTCTGTCATCCTTGTACTGTATTTATATTGATGTCAAACAAATAAAGCAAGAGAACAAAGCATTCTTCATCCAGCTGCTCTTTGGAAAAGAAAATTAATATAGATGTTGTACTAAAAAGGCAATATGTATGGATTTGGAGGCGTAATTAAATTCTCCAATTTTGAAAGGTCAAATCAGTACATGTGGCCTGTCTATCACATTGACCTGGTAGCAGCCTGCAGTACACTCTGAACTACAGTGGAGGAAGAGTTTGCTTCTGTGTCTGATCACTGACTGCACGTGCTGTACCTCTCCAGATCCACGACCTCAGTTTTTGGTTGAGCCTTGTGGGAAGCTGAACAAGACTATGAACAAAACACAGGCAATAAAACATGGCTGGACACAGAGTGACAGAAGAAACGGCCACAAGTTCGCCAGGGGAGATTAGATTAGATATAAGGAAAAACTTTTCCTCTCAGAAAGTGGACAGGCACTGGAATGGCCTGCCCAGGAAGGTGGTGATGTCACCATCTCTGGTGGTGTTCAAGAGGCATCTGGATGAGGTGCTACGAGATATGGTTTGGTAGCTTAGTGGGTAGTAATGGTGACGGGTGGACGGTTGGACCAGATGATCTTATAGGTCCTTTCCAACCTTGTGATTCTACGACTCTGTGATTTATTTGTGCCTGTTCTGAGGGTTTACATAAGAGGCCTCAATTCAGAGCAAGTTCTATTGCATTAACTAAAAGCTGTACATAGGTATGAACTATCATCACCATCTCTGAATTAAGGTGGATAATGAAGGATGAGCAGTTGAAAATCATGCCTCAAAACAGGATCCCTAAAACACCACTTTCTCTCACAGCTTATCTTTGGAGACAATTCCATCTCCAGCAGCTCTGGTTGGCACAGCAGCAATGGGACCTCCAAAAAACAGATATTTTAGGTAACCAAATCCCAAGACATTTACACCAACAACAACCCTTCTGTATTTTGATAAATTTTGGAAGAAAACATAACACTCAAAGCTCTGTTTCGCTATGTTCCTTATAAGCAGTTACCATGAGATAGCAATTCAGTATAATAACATTGATGCATGAAGTTACTGAAGAGTAGCCACCAAATCATAGAATGTACCAAGTTGGAGGGGACCCTTCAGGATCACAGAGTCCAACTCCTGGCTCAGCTGCCCCTCATACACATTGCCCTCCAGACCCTTCCCCATCTTTGCAGCCCTCTTTTGGATGCCATAACGTACTCAGACTTCAATCAGGATGATCTAACAGAAGAGCGGGACTGGAATTCTGATATACTGAAATAACCTTTAAACCTGCCTGAAAAGCTCTCTACACTATGAACACAGTTTATGCCTTCATGTATTTGGGGGATCTTGAAGATCGAATGAAAACTAATACCATACCCTGAATTTTACAAGGGTAAACGGAATGAACAGGTAATTACTGGCCTCTCCACCTCCTATTGATCAGGGACATAATTAAAGAAGAGATGACAGAAGACTCTATTAAAAAAGAATTAAGGAATAATAGCAGAATTCATGTCCAGCAAAAAGGACTTGCAGAAAACAGACCTTGGCTAACCGGCATTTCGTAGGGATGACTAATTTGGTTTGAAATAAACCCAGACAGGTGAAGTTATTTTCACCAAGGACGCAACAGAAAAGCCAAAACAACGGAAGAAAACACAGCATCCACTACAACAGAAACCAGCAGCTTAGTGAAGCAACTTAATATCTCAGTAGAAATTGGAGGAAGCCACCAAAAGTGGATTTTGCAAAGTACCAGAAATCTTAATTCCTCTTTTCTTTTTTGTCTTCTGTATTCCAAGCAAAATAACTGTTCCAGAACCTCTTTTGTCTGGTTAGAAATCTTCTAACTTACAGACTAAGCTTAGAATG